TATATATATATATATATATATATATATATATATATATATATATATATATATATATAATTAGGGAAATATGGCAAAGAAATCCTATTATCCCTCTTATCTTAAAATCGTATTGAATCATTTATAATAATCACTGGTTTGTTGTTGTCGTTTTTGTGATGGAGAATACTACAAAATCCGTTAATAAGAACAAGTGTTATTACATTTGAGGCTCACAACGGCACTACCTATCATTCAAAGAAAAAATTACATTTGGTTGGGCAGAAAACTCAAATTTCTTCCGAAATGACAGCCCATAGTGCTTTACATCTAAGGATTGCCCACACAGTAAATACTGTTGGGCATTCATAGCGTTCTTCTATGATTAATTATTGCACTATTGGAGCATTCTCTTCTATTTTGTTTCCTCTCTATTTTGTTTTCTCTTTTTTTCTCTGTTCTGGAAGACATTTTCTCTACATCCACAAGGTCCGCCATGTTCTAGCCATATCAGATTGCACAAGTTTCAACTTGGGATCCGCGACCATAGTCTTCGAGCTGGATATAACCGCCACTGATAAGGAATCCTTCATTCACCATAAATGTTACAAAAAATAAAATACAAGACCATTCATCTGCAAACCTGTAGTGTTACAACGATTCCGAAGAACTGAGACGATTTCTTCCCCTGGAAGTTGAATTTACTTCGAATCTCCTAGTGCTTATTTGCTATCTACGTGAATCTGAACCAGTGGCTTCGCAACATCAAAAACAAAAATTACAGGGACAAGCGCATTCTGAGCAAGTTCAGTACTTCAATTGTTCCCGAGAAGTAAAAGCTTATCGGAGTTCTCTATATCCAGAGATGACTATAGCAGTGTTAAGTTTCAATATAATTATACAATCTGTACCTAATAGTCACAAATACTAATATGTGTCGTGTAAAATGGCTATCTTCCTCACGTACTATGAATCAAAATACAAGTTCTGTAAGACCCCTGACAATGAAACAGTGTTGTTTTTCAAAACATTTCTGTCCGTGCCCAACATTAGCACTTAATCCAAGTACAAGATTCACCCCAAAATGGTTAATTCCCAAAAAAACTTGGCATGACATGAGGCCTTGTAAATTTGAAATGAATACTGGGTGGGTGGGTCGGAGGTCTTTACATTAAGTCCCAATGAAATTTTCAAAATTTGCAAAAAATGTTTGTCTTTTTCCCAACCAGAGCGAAGTACCTTAAAAATTATGCAGGTTCAATTCACAGTAAAAATCCAAAAATTTCAAAAAATTGCAGAAGCTTCAAAATTTTTGAATGACATCATACACCTACAACATCCTAGTTAGAGTAGTTTTGATGTAAATTTGGGTCAATTGTGACTCCTATTCAGGCATACATTAGGTGGCCAAATTATTCGGGGCGGGCCTCAGATATTTGGGTTGTATTATTAAAAACATAAAATCAATAAGATATTTAGGTAAAAGTAATTTGTAAGTAAAATTAATACTAGTATTTAGTGATGCAACCCGTTCATGGAATTATAGCTTAATAGGTTGTTGCATGCTCTCTATACAGGCTTTTGCATTTTGTTGCAGTTCAATGTTTGCAATGCTATTCTTTGTTGAGAATTTCAATAAGCAGGTTCTTGGTGATGATCACTGGTTTGGCAATTGGCAGTTTAGTGATTTCCCACATGTCTCTAAAGGGTTAATGTCTGGCAATATCCTCAGCCAGGACCACACTGTATTATTTTTCTGCCAGGAATGCAGGCTTTGTGGTATGGTGCTGAATCGTGCATAAAAAGGTATTCTTAATCTCCAAGGCTTTATCACCTTTCTTAGAGCTTCAAGCTCAGATAATAGTTTTTAGTATTTGTTTGTACTGGTAGTACCTCATAGTCCATTCTACAATGTATAGGTGCCCTATGTACCCTTCTTTAAGATTAATGACTATCCCATGACACTAACCGAGTGTTTAATCCTCTCTACTATGTAATACGGATGAAACTGTTCCACAGGGCTTCGTTAGACAAATGAACTTTAATCAACCAAAATCTCATGATTTGTCAGAGAAGTATACCCATAATATATGACAAAAAATCATTATTGATGAAATGCACTAGTGCTTTAAATATATAAAATGGATGTATTACACAACTCCAATCTGCAACAGACATATTTCAGTGTTGTCTGGCCCTTTAAAGTATTACATAATTCGAACATAAATAAATATTTAAATCAATTTTGGTAAATAAAGGAAGGTAAGCGAAAACTCTAGGCATTTTGAATCTGCCAGAGCCTTGGTGATGCGTGATTTTTGCACTGTAATGACCAATCAGGTTCTCTTTCACTATTCGTCTCCAGAGTGTCCTTTTGAAAAATGTTACTCCCTTGGTGTTTATCATTGTAGTCAGACGGGCAACACTTTTTTCACAATTTTTGAGGCAGCTGTACTTGATTCTACCATCAGTACGGAAACTGATCTTTTTCCTGCCACATCTTATCCACACGACCTGCTTCCGAGGGTTTGTTCCAATTAATTTTTATTTTCATTTTATTAACGAGTTTTTGACACACCAGCTATATTCAGAGCGTAGGCTTCAGCGGATGGAGTCAGTATTTACTAGGCTATATTCCTCTTTCAATGTATGGAGAAATTGTGTTTGTATTTCTCTACTTTTCCCCAGCGATGTGTCTAAATCCTTACCTTAATAAACAATCACAACTTTGAGGTTGTGTCGTCAGATTGTAAACTATAATGAAAATCACTCCTAAAATTTAGTGAAAGTAATGCAGAAAGAAACAATTCTTACATTTTGATTATTTTGGAAATGAAAAACTTGCAAAAAACAACTAAAAATAATTTGTAAGTCTTCATTACAGCAGCAGTTTTCAATAAACATCAACTGAATGAGAACTAACATCACTTATTTCTTAAGTAATGCAGGCATCCAGTGTTGCCACTTATTAAAATCAATAGTAATGATATCAGAAATACTACAATCTTATTGAAACCAAATCCTCAACTCAAAAAATTGATTTTACTAGAAAACACATCAATATGAGTACTGTACCTAATAGTTTGGTCACCTACTGTACATAAACAGCATTTCCTCAAAAATGCTCTCAATTTTCTATTCAGAATTTTTGTATGCTTAGAGAAGAATCTACCCGTCAATAAATTGCTCTTCTTTCTCATAGTACATCACAGTTATTAACTCTATTTGATGTTAAAATAAAAAAAAATAATATAACAATCTGACACAGCATGCTCTAATAACATGTCCTTAATAACTAGCAATCACGATATATTTGTGGGAATCTAGATCTTGTTTGTACCCAAAATTTTCATAGAGCCTCACCATGTAGCATGTATGAAAAATAATTATGTAAACTTCATGGAATTTGTTTTGCAAATTTTCTGTAAATCCTTCAAAAATATTATGAAGAAAGAAGAAGAAAAAAATGTAGGTTTATTGAAATATTCTTTAAATGCTATTCAACAATACCTTGTTGCACAGAACTTGCACAACTTTCACATAAAAATGGTTATTGAGGATATAATTGCCAATTATATATTATTTTTGTATTCATTTAAAATTTATATTTCTATAGTAGTAACATAGTACAGCTGCAATCTACAAGTCCTTAAACAGCTTGATGTCATTAACTTGGGGTGACTGAAAATATAATAAACCATGGTGGCTACAGGAATTAAAATTCACATTTGTCATACACTTTTAAAACATCCTGCCCCACAATGAGCATGCAACAAATGCACACTGTACTACATGATGGCTTACTTGTCCTATTTGAACCCAGAACAATCACATGTGATACAAACACAACAAATATGAGCACGAGTTTTTACTGATTCGTGATGGTAATAAATATCATTCAATATCTCAATTGAATTCTTTATAAATAACTATAAATCAACTACGTGATCTGGGCTGTCAGGGTGACGCTGCGCCAGAAGCTGTGTTGCTGACGTTTTGACCATCTTAACATGGTCTTCCTCAGGGCTGGTATGCCTGAGGATGACCACGACAAGATGGGCGAAACGTCGGCACCACAGACTTCGACACAGCGTCACCTGGACAGCCCAGATCACGTACATGACTCTGGGCGCAGAGCATACTAATAAAATTTTGAATTTAAAATTCTGCATAAATGAAATTAATACAAGAAAGCATTAAGTCAGCTGGACCTTACATCTTAAGGCATAAAGAAAATCCTGCTAAAGTTGCACTACTGATGATAGAGCAATGGATTGTTTTTGCAGAGGTTAAAGTACAGGCAAATTATATTCACTTCAAAAATAGAAATATAGCTTGGTACATTTTTAAGATGCAACACAAAATGCTACTTAATGAACTGATAACTGAAAAGCAATATTCCAAACAGTACCCACTTGGAGCCCAATCTGTTATTCTTGGCATATTATATTTTTAACAGAATACATAAGATATTCTTTTCATAAAGGAAAGTGTACAATGAGAAAAGGAACCAAAAGAAATACTCATTGAAGAACAGATTGAATTGAAATACTGAAATTGAAGGATGAAAATGCCTACTCACCTGTAGGCTCGGATGGCAGCCCAGCTCCAGGAGAGTCTTCACCACCCCCATGTGACCTTTGTTTACAGCGATGTGCAACGCCGTTTGGCGTCTTTTGTTACGAGCATTGAGATCTGCACCAGCATGTGCCAACAGTTCCATAACACCAGGTTCATCTCCAAATGCAGCATGATGAACTGCTCGATCGCCATCTTTGTCCTTTTATACAATCAAAGACATTAGGTGGCTAGTAGAACCAAAACCAACAGGAAAGGCACATAAAATAAACAGAAACATCATACAAACCTCAATCTCAACATCAGCCTTGTGACGCAAAAGGATTTTGATAACTTCTAAATGACCATTTTGACTTGCAGCTTGAAGGGCTGTATGTCCAGAAAATACTCCATTCACATCCGCATCTGGGCGTTTTAAGGACTCCTCACACTTCTGTGCATCACCATTAGCTGCTGTTTTCACCAGTTCTTCATTAACATCTCCCGACACATGGGTTTCAAAGAGCTTCTTTAGCAGAGCACTAAGTCTCTCTGAAATAATTAGATCAATCGCATAAGTTAACAACATAATCACTATAATGATCTATGTACAAGTGTTATGACTTGTTTCCCAGTATCACATTTCTCTAATTTACATATCAGACATATGCCGGCTGATTAGTTTAGAATAAAATATATAATAAAAATTAAATAATCTAATTAAAATTATTGCAAGCAAATGATCATTCATTGAAATGAAAATTTTACCTCCACTAGATGTTCCAGGTACACTACCATCAGACGATGCTACTTTGGTAACAGCTACAGGATTGTAGGTCCAAGAAGTACCACAAACCTCTACTTTTAAATCGTTGTCGTGATAAATTTGTTGAACTCTACCAATCTTGCCTAAAGTCTGCAAAAAACTCCACAGTTGTAGTGTGTTCCAAAATAGGCATACGAATGTTAATGTCCACAAAATAACACTTTTGCAAAGTAGTAAACATTTCATTTGTAAAAGGATCAAGACAAAATTAATAGCAAACTTTTAGACTAAATTGTTTTACATATTTTCTCTATTCCAGCCTTGGCAGCTTTTAAACAAATGTATAAATTACTAGATTCCTTAAAATCTCATTAAAAGGAATTTTCATTAGCGCAGACTTCCACTGAGTCTTCATAATCCTTTTCCATTTTAGGACTTTCCAACCTTACATTAAGATAATAATAAATCAAAAAGTGATCCTGTTGGTACTATCATTCCTCTGTTTCTCCTACCTTCCCTGGGTTTACAGTTACATGCCATTATAGTAAGTCTACCTTTTTGCTATTATTTTTTTTTTCTTCTGTCCTCCGGTTTTGTTTTTTATGTGCTACTCATGAGGACTGTAAGGAGGAGACTCAACTCTGATGGTGGGAGTATAAACAAAAAGTATCAGCAGCTAATTGGCACATCTGAACTTCAGTGACATCATACAGTAGGAGAATCTTTTAAGGCATTTTGAACCAATGGTCACAAAGCTCATGTATCAAGACAACACTATCCACACTTACTTACAAACACTAAAGAGTAGATGGCGTTGGTCAAGTACATGTTTGTGCACCATTATTGGCTGAAAAAAGCCACGGTAAGTTTCTTCATACACTGCACAAGTAATGTCACTGAAGTTCAGGTAAGCCAATTAGCTGCCGACATTTTTCATAAACATCTCCACATGCCTCGATCATCAGAGTTCGGTCTCTTGAGAGTCTTCAAGGTTCTAGTATTTCTTTTGTGATTTTGTCCATTTTTAGGTTCTGTCTAATGTTGGTATTTCCAATTTTTTTTTTTCCCCAACAAACAAATTCACACAAACTTTCTTTTCTTCTTCCTACAAATTTCTTTCTTTCATTCTAATACAACACTTCTGACTTTGGCATTCATTTTAGCATTATTAGAAATATAACAATTCAGGTGTAAATTAATCTTGAACATTAATTTTGTATGAATGACACAGAATGGAAGCAAAGAATTTGAACACATTAACAACTAAACAGACTATAATTAAAACTATCCCCACTTTAATGCTTTATCAATACATACAATGGGAGACACACAAAACACTTTTTCGAATGGTACACATAACATACCATCTCACACGTTAAGCGTAAAATCATTCTACCTTTTAAATAGCTTTGACCCTGATGAATAAGCTGATAAGACGACATTTTGCTGAAAACGAGATATACTCCTGAATTCTCTGAAAGATTCTCTTCATTTGTGAATAACCAAACAAGTTGAATTCCTTCTGGTTGATGAGTAATGGTCATGTGTATTTATGAACATCGCATAAATTTCTTAATATTAACAACCCTATCAAAATAAGTCAAGTTGTCTGGTTATTCATGACGTTATTCTGTAGCAATGATTTGAGATCACTGATCAAAATGAAATAAGTCTAGTTGTCTCTTTTATTGCTCTAGAAGTTTAGTTCAAATAATCACAGGAGAGCAATGTAAGTATTACTATAATTATCAGACTTTACAAGTGAATATTTTTGTTGAAGAGCTTAAGACCAAACCAGAAAATGCCAAACAAGTTTAAATCTTGCATGAATACAAGCAAAGCATAAGTTTATCAGTGTGGTCGTTTCAATATTTGACACAAAGGGACCAACAGTTAGAAGAGACACATAGTAAAGTTATTTATTATGACCTAGAGAAAGGAGATTATTGAGAGATCCATTTTTGTGAGCTGGTTAGATAAAAGGATAAGGATAAATAGGCAGATAATGACACCAGAAATAAAAGATAACTTCTGTTATAACACAGATCAGACACTTGGGGAGGACATACCTACTTTAGAACATATGCTATCAAATGGTCCAAGTGAGCAGCCATAGACAGCCATCAGTCTCATTTTAAAGGAAATTAACTATCACTACGAATTGGTTCGAGAAATTAATTATTGCTACGATATGACCAAGTACAACAGTCATTGTGTTGGTATGACTGGTTTCTCTAAGCATCAGTGAACCAGTAGCAGTGGTGGCCCAACAAACCGGAGGTTGCAGCTCCATCAAATGACAGAAATGTAATTTCCAAAATTTAGATCACTAATATATAATAAAATATAAGTAATTCATGTAAATTAATTAAAACTACTTTTAATAAAATTCTATATTGAAACATTACTTATATAATTTTATGCACAGTGTCCTTGTCCAGATTTGGAGGAAATTGATGCTGATGATTTGTTGATGTAACGGTTAGCGTATCAGATTGTTATACCTAAGTTGGCAGGTTCAATCCTCATCAAAACTGTCAGGTATTTTCACCTTTCACGCACATGGTTTTGACTTCAATATCCAATGGTCACTCTAGTTCTTGTATTAGTTATGCATTGAGACAATTGACGGCAATAGAATTCATACCATACAAAAAATGAACTTGATTTTGGAAAATTCAGCAATTGCACTCCTGTACTTTGCAACACGCACTATTGTTTGGACATGTTTTAAACAAGTAAAATAATTTTTAATTTCCAAAATTTCACTACTCTGTTATACATTGCAATAATGAAAGATCTTGCAAACACACTTATATACACAACAACGCTCACAGACTGACTGGCCTTCAATACTCTCAGACTGGCAGAATGGCTGCCACAAGACCGCGAAGATACATACACCGTGAGAGACCGAAAGGGACTTCCTTACAAAACACCAACTCCTCCAACTTAACAGAAAGGACTCATCAAATCTACATTTTCAATCAACAAACATAGCATGAAATAAAAATAATTTCTCCAAACATCATAAATAATGCATTCAATATCGTCAATAATTGACTGAACTTTAATACTATCGATAACACGCAAAATTCGTAAAATTAAGTTGCAATTGGTGCAAATGAAGACTAAAAATTGAAAAATTGGTATTCCCCTCAGATGCTTCATTGCACTTGGCGCCCAGACTCCCCACCCAAGGAAAAATACTGGGAGCCCTGGTCTATGCCACCTGTGCAAGAGACAGTTGAGATTTCTTCTCAATTGACCAACTGACCCTAGCTGTTTTCTGCAAGGATCTAAAGGAACTTTCATGGCCCCTTTGCAGCCAAGCCACACCGTGTGTCCACCTACCAATAATATTCCTAGAACCTCAGGACTCTTGAGCCCATCTCAGTTCTTGTAATGTTTTTAATAGGATTATTGTGCCAATCTTCAATATACATATGAAGAATATACTAGTTACATAAGGGCTAGGGATTTAGGAAGATTTAAAATTCAGAGGAATACATAAAACTAGGAATGCCCTCATGGCACAAGCAACTTAAAACATACATCCTTTACATGGGATTTGATCCACATACTTGAGAGCAATTACCTCAAGCCCCCACATCACTGGGCAGCTTAAATATCAACTATTTATTATAAATATAATTGATACTTCAAAATCACTTTCTTAAACCCAAATTAAATGCCGTTTTGTACTAACCCAGTTTCATTCTAAAAGTCAATCACAGTGACACTCCTATATACTTAAGGCAGTACTCACTGGAGTCATAGCTTCAGCCCATTCACCATGGCCTCTCTGCAGGATCTTGATGCGCTCCAAGTCACTGCAAATTTGCACCAAGTCACCTACAGCAAACTGCTGCTGTGTCTCATTTGCAGCAGAATTAGGAGCAGCTACAGCCACTTTAGTCAACACAGCTGGATTAAAAGTCCACCTGAAAGGTAGCATTTGGATAATTAATTTATTTTCCTCTCTTTTAATATGTTATATTTTATTTTTAAAGATTGCATTTATTGGGTATTGCCACATTGATTCTAAATAACATGGTTTAAGAGAGATTTACAATAACGAGCTTGTGATGGGCTGATTTTAGCAGTAGTGAGAAGAGCAAATGGAAGTCTTCATTTGACATTGACCGTTCACTCTCCACCAAGAAACTCTTGATCAATATTCTGACATGATTTTAACAACATTTGAATCAGTGCAAAATGTGATGATACAACGTAACGATTGTTTATTTTTCAAAATATAAGTCACAAAACAATTGGGAGAGTCTGCAATGTTCTTAGATTTGAGTCTCATTCAGAGAAACGGAATCGTAGCAGAATTTCTTTGTTGTATGTACAGATATTAATGTTGGTTAATGATGTATCAATTATGTTTCTTCAATATCAAACTATAACCAGAAAACATTGTGAATGCATTCCATATTGATGAATAAATAAATGATCACACATCAATTATGAGATTTATCATCTCAAACCAAGAGGAAACTTATTTTACTAAAAACAAGGAAGATTTTCGTGTTTCAAGAGAATTTTCAGTCTACACAAGAAATGCTTTCACAAGTCCAGAGCTATGAAATAAATGTTTATTTTGTGGAACACAGCCAACCAAATAATAAGTAAATACTATCCTGATGCTCATTCTTATGGATGTTTGAATCTTTAGTATCTCATACGATAATATGGTTAATGTAATTATTCACCCATTCATATGTAATGGAAGATCATTTAGTGACCAAAGTGAAATTGTACAAGTAAATGGAATCCAACAATAAATAAAATTTTAGCAGCAGGTTGAAGAGTAGGGTTACATCTATTGAAGGCTATGGCAAAACAATACAAATTTTGGATCAGAACAGTGAACAAGAACATAAAGTTGGAAATGCCTTTTGCAAGAATTGAAAGAATTCACCTGTTTCCACTTGGATAGGAAACAACTATATCATGATCTTCATCTATTCCCACAACAGTTCCTGTTGTTCCTAAACATTCAAACATGCCATCAGTCCATCCTCCATGACCATGTTGCAGTGACTGGACAATTTCCAATTCCAAATCAACATTGACCTGTGAAAGAAAGATAAAAAAATATTACTCTTTTATGAAACATAGTAAGTAAAATGATCCACATCTGAATACAATTGAACATTACCTGATCACCTATCTGTAGCCCGTGAGGACCTGTACGACCTGGGCCCTGCTCTCCAAGCAGAGGTAAGTGATCACGATACACAGTCTGACCCTTGGCATCATTGACAACCTTTAGGTCAGCCTAATGAAAGATTTATTACACATCTGCATGAGATTATGTCAAAAAATTATATTATCACTAAATAAACTATTGGAATGTGAGACTAAATTATGTGAATGTGAGAAAGAAATTAATAATACACATTCCCACCTCAAAATAAATAAACAGACATTGGTTACTAAAGGCATAAAAAAAATACATTTAAGATGCCTAAAAATCCACTAAAAAATGTACAAATTTGCAGGGGGAAAAAGCTACAAAGGCCCAGAGCTGAAGGGAAAAGGAACCAATTTATTTTTTTGCACATCTATTTAAAAGTAGTAGAATATTCTTATTTAAAACAATATAACAGGATAGAAAATTAACGAAATTGTTACCATTTTCTAAAGATTTATTATAACTTCATTTTCTCCAAATTTATATAATTAGTACGTGAAAGTGGTCTAATGTATTAATTTTTTGAATAACTATGACTTATCTTACCTTCGTGTAAGACTATCTAGCACAATGAAACTCAATGTTGGAAGTCAGGATTACTGACTTGCCCCCAATGCATGTTTTGATTACATCCTGAATTTAAGCCCACAACTCCAAAGACAGAATGTGACTTGCAAATCCAAGAAAATTAAGATTTGTTTCAGGCAAACAGCTTTTGAGCTTAATAAAACTGAATGGGTTTGTAATAAATTTGAAGAAAAACATTTGAAAACATAAATATAACTAAAAGCCATCTATATATAAAAAAAGGTAAAATAAAACTTCGTCATTCATTTTGTATATACCAAAAGATTTTGAATATGTTCAGAAAATAAAACTGACATTTTCCTAAATATCCAAGATTTAGTAATAGGTATAGGTTATTATGAAAATTAATTTGATGGCTGTTTCATTACTTTCACACCTTGTCTGTCAATAAAATAGTCAATAACACAGAATACTACACTTTACAAAGATAATTATAATAACTGTAAGTCAAATTATCAAAATTGCAGAACTAATGTCACAAAAAATGTAAAAATAAATAAATTCAAGCAAAAGTTACATCCTTTTGATCATTTAGTCTGAATCTGCAATAAAAAGTGGTACCTCCCCTTTAAAAATTTTATCTTTCCTTTTGTCTCACTAACAACATGATGATCATTTCTCTCTTTCAAACATATTCAAACTTTTGGGACTCATCGTCCTTTAGCGTTTAAATTATTGCTTGCACAACATTTTTAACATGACTGCTGGTATAGTAGTTGATACAACACAATAGAAAACATGATTTAGTTCTATTTGTTTCAGAACTTTAAATCATTCTTCTCACTTCCTCATAATCTCTTCTTAAATTTTTTTTTGCTTCTTCCGAATTATTGCTCTCTTACAACAAAGATGTTTTACTCCTAATTAAAAAAGAAACTATACATACAAAATACATTTAAATCAACTTACCATGCCTTCAAATCCAACACGATAAAGATTTTTTGCTCCATTGTCCCAAATAACATAAGCAGCAGATCGGGGGCTAGCTGCAGACCAATCCTGTATTTCATTAACCTTTCCTCGCCGACCATTCCCACCGTCTTGATCTTCCCATTGCCAATCCACTCCCCGAACTACTCGAGCACCAGGAAATATTCCACGAATTGCTACCTTCTTCGATTTACGGCGAGGCTCAAGAAGCATTCTACATGAAAAAAAAGTTCATAAATAACCACAAAATATGATGTGTAATAAGACACTTTAAAGAACAAGTGAAAATAACTTAATGAAAACCCTACTCCCTATCACAAAAATAATTACAAATTTGGAAGTTAGGTAAGACAATTCCTGTATTCAGTGAGTAAAGCTTCAAATGTTTGATACAAACTCACATTTTTCTTCTTAATTGTGTCTTTCTGAATCTCAGTTTTATGAAACAGAAGCCCTGAACTTACAATACTAGATATTTAAAGAACATAAATGTATTAGAGAAGAATTTCCAGAGAGAACTAAGCATGTCAAGTTAAGTTTAAAGCATCAATACTTGCAACTCAAAAACTGAAACCTATTTTACCACTGTTTTCATAACTGTTAAAAATTTCATCAATATTTGTACAGTTTCTAAAATTTCTTATTCAACTATTTAAAAAATAATAATTTATTGAAATTCATCAATCTTCTTGTGATTATTACATTGTATATTTTTTCAAAAAATATTACAACACAAAAGGTGACATTTCTATTGATGACATATTTCAATTAAAACCTTTACACAAAAATTCATAATCAGAATTGGAAGCAATTTATTCATGTTTAACATAAACATGAAAATTCTGAACTCCACAATTCCAAAATGATACCCCGAAAAGATTCTCTACACCCCCAAACTGTCAAGACCTAAATATCACAAACTTCCTAATTCCTTAATATCCCTATTTTTCTTCAACTTGGCAAGTTTGGGAAGAAAAATACACTTCAAAAACTAACATATTTAAGCACATTATGCCAAAAGGAATATATTTGTCAAGTTCAAAAACATACTTTTATACATCCCTAGGACACAAACGGAACAAAGGCATTCCTTAAAACTTTAGCATGAGGAAACCAAAGAAAATATTTCACTCAATATTTCAATTAAATACATCCTAGGCAATCTAATAACTATTTTCACCATAAAAAGTTGGACGTCAAAAGCAAAAACACAAGTTCCTTTGTGGAAAGACTCCAAAGTATTTTGGCAGACTATCCAATTTTTTAAGACATAATCACTTTACTGGGTAAGCATGATCAACAAGATGACAGGAACCCATCAATAATGAAAACATTTTTTTTTTTAATGGTATTAATCATAATATTCAAAATAATTGTTCTAAATATAAAGAAAGTTTACCAAACCTAATCATTCACCTCCAAAAAACATGAAAATAATAATTTCAGAAAAATCATATTTAAGTTAATAACTACATGAACATTTGAAAGACCAACAATGTTAAAAAACTGAATATACTGTGTTTTACTTTGTTTGTCCATCAAACTATTATCATCCCTCTGAACACTACTTCAAGTTCATTCATCCACCCAAATACCTTAGCCAACAAAAATAGAAAGACACACCAATATTCAAACTTTGATCATTTAAACCATACTGTGAGAGTTTAAAGAACACAAGAACTCTGAGTACATCTGCAAATGATTGGTTCCCTTCATGTTTGGTAAATTTTTTGCTCAATTAGTTCTCATTCACAAATTTACTGGGTAAAGCAAATAACAATTACTAATTCAATTTCAATTAGTGACAACATATTCCTCAGAATCGCACCATTGTTCAAATACTAACCGTTCACTCCCAGGGGTAGTAATACGATAAAATCGATGTCGCAAATGATGCTTATCACCATGATAACAGATAGAACACAAGTCATAATTTCCACACTCTGCACACTTCCAACGGATCCCAAATATTGGTTGTTGCCGACAAGTGTCACACATTGTTCCATCATGTTTAACACCTATGACAGGAATGACAGTTGAATAACATAGTGACAAATTGAAATATTAGGGTAAATGTAAAATAGAATGACATTTTTTGTGACTAACCTGTTGGTGCACTGTCCAGAATACGCAAATCATATGCTCCAGAACATCTATAATTGGCAGCTGTACCATTGTCCCAGACCACCACAACTTCTTCAGGAGATTCAAAATTTCTAACAGTTCCTACATGACCTTCACCTCCATCCTGCAACGCGAAAAAATGTATACTGACACAGAATTTGCAAACTTCACAACAAATCAAATGCTAAATAGATCACAATTATCAAGTGATCACAAAAGTATAACAGCATACTTCTATTAATAACACGAATGAATATAAACTATAGAAAGGTTATATACGATAGAAACTGACATTCAATAAAATAAAAATTACTCTAAAGGTACAAAATGCGACTAATACTACTTAGACAATTGGAATTCCTAACCTGTTTTCCCCATTTCCAATCTGGTCCTCGGATTACTCGAGCTCCCACACCCTCCATCATAAATCTAGTCGTTCGACTCCCCGCAGCAGCACCGCCTTCCATAATTTGCGTCATATAGACATTCAAGATTGATGTTTTTATACCTTTTCAATAATAAGCATTAAAATATCACATTGAAGTACGAAACTATGGCATTTAAATGTCACGTGGTATGCAACTGACCCGAACTCTAGTGGTTCGTAATCTTTTACCGCGAAATACGAAATGAATATCAGAAACTTGTACACTTAAAATTATAATGTTTACGTGTACTCATTTTGCGGATGGATTTGCATTTCTTACTTTTTCACATATTACTATCGTAGAATAGAGATATTTATGTAATACTGCGTCGTTCAACGGCGCTTTGTTAGGCGCAAAAAGTCGTATTATAAATACTACGCCCTGATATAGAGAAACTGGAGAATTCTTGTTCCTGTATGTAATAATTTTCTTGAACACGTGGTGTGTTCAGAATCCACGTTTTGTGGGCAGTATTTGACCCAGGAAGAAATGGTTTACGGCTAAACATCTGTCCGTCCGGCCTGTGAACAACTCTAAACTGTAGGAACTAGGATTTTCGCCCAAATTGATAATCCCCGAGAGATTGAGCTGATGTCGCGGCCCCTTGAATTCAAAATGTATACTTTTATTTTTATTTTTGTTAGTACTTACGTACTATACATGAAGCCCGTCGACATTTTAAAAATTTTCTCAATAATGGCTCCAAATTTTTCCTTTGATTTTTTCTTCTTCTAAGATAGAGAAAATTCAGTAATTAAAAAAACAACCACTCTTCCGATTTTCATTCAACTCTAAACTTTTAACAATTGCAAAAGTTAAATTTGTTTCAGTGTCTTCCCCAACCTGAAGATAGATATTTTTCTTCTGAATGAATCCTGTTTTTCAAAATTAGAAGTTTTGTTGTAATTTTGTGTAAAATAAAGACAATTGATAAGAACTGATACAAGAAATAGTTGTATAAAAAAAATATGAGACCTGTTAAAGATTCATTGTTATAAATTGTATAAATTATATAATTAATGATTGTTAAAGCTATGCTGTTAGGTTGCTGTGTAGGCAAAATGTGATATTGATATTTAAATTAGCTTCAGGTTATTTGTAAATAAATAAATTTTAAAAACAAGATTTTCTTAAAAACAGCTTCAATATTTTTCTTGAAACTCTCTGATTGGGCACAAACCAAATACATTAAAAAATATGACTTAAACATTAATTTGATGAAATCTTTAATTTTTCAAAAGTTACATAAATAAATGCTCAAGTAATACTATAATATTAAGTAACAGATGAAAAGAATGTGAGAAAGTATGTGCTCTTGTAGCATTTTTTTTTTCCCCCCTTCTCCTACTGCTCTGAAAGTGTACAAACACATACACATCCTACTGCACTCCAAAATACAGCTTCTTTATTCTAAAAACGATTAATTGAAATTATGGAAGAGAAATGAACTAGGTATATAAAAACTCTCTCCTAAATTCAAGTACCAATTCTTCTTGTATAGTGGGGCAATTTCATCTATGGGGACCATATTTTTGTGAATCAATTTTATCTTCTTTCTCAATTTCACTTTATTATTCCTTGGTTTTATTTATTTAAAAATAGTATAAGCTGTTCCGGAATTAGAAAGTTTTGCTTGCAATTTTGCTTGCATTAGACAATGCTAATATATTGCCCCCCCTTCCCATCCCTGAAAAATATTAAGTTGTACAAGAAACTATATGAATTTATTTATTTAAACCATTTACAAAACTTTTAACATTTAAGATAGAAAACATTTTAGAAACATATTTTAAAGAATAGTTTGAAGTAAAAGTAATTGGTGATCAAATAATACAACAATTTGTACTTTTTGATCAACTACTTTACATTCTATTCTGTTCAGCAAATATCTCCTCTTCTCCCGCTTCCTAAAAGAAAAAAAAACAACAACAAGAGGTGCAGAACTAAAGAATACATTCTATGGGGAGATTAAAATGCTAAAAGAATTGTTGTGTTTAATTAGTGTTTAATAAAATCACTTGTTGTTAAATACATGAAGTAATAAATATGGATTTCAGTAGAACCTATTTTAATGTCAACATCATTTGATTACATAAATGTTTTGATTTCATAGATACATACAAATAGTAAATGTAACTCTCATTATCTGAAATATACATATTTTGGAATATGAACTGAATTGAATTGAAATGAATTGAATTAATGCCTTATTTTACGTGGCGAGATTATGATTTGATACGATATGATTATTATTTAATAAAATTACTTTCTGTTAATGATTTGCAATTATTTTATTACTTATTTCATTTTCAACTTCAGTAATATATTTTATTTTTTGAACAAATGTATAAATGCTGCTAAAATTATGAATTATTTTACATATACTGCTCCTAATAATAGATACCTATGTTTTATTAAATTAATTTTTGTTGGCACATCATAGATCTTGAATTTTAATGGTACAAATAAATGTATTTTGATCATGCATGTATTTTTCAATTGATAAAAATTATAAACAGAATTTCACTATTTCAGACATACACATATTGAAAAGTGAAATATGATTATTAAAGTAGTTAGCTTTTGTCAGCAATGAAATACAATTATTTTGTTGCATGAAATAGAAATTTTTAAGAGAGTGTGATTATTTTAACAAATACTTAATTTTCCACTAAGGGAGAATCCATAAATTATGTAACACAAATTTTGAGTATTTTGAACAACCCATCTCGTGTAATGCACCCATAACGCACGCTTCAACCCCCCCCCCATCATTAGGTAACACTTGTGACAACCCCTTTACAGATGCAAAAAATGATAATGAATTTTAGGACAATAAAAAAAATTATTTATTTTAGTACTTGTGTTGTAAGATAAAATAATGATAATTAAAGTAGAATTTAGTTGGTGATTTTGATTGTACCTAACAAAATAAGATTAGAACAAGTTGTGAGTGAAGAAAGGATGAATGGGCGAGAAAATGTTTAATCACTAGCCATGCACACACCATCGTGATTGATGCATCAGCGTGCGTCTACTGCACCAATTTAAATGGATTCTAGAATATACTACATATTAGTTTTGAACCTTAAGTATCGTAACAGTAAACTAATACCCCCAACCTCTATGTAATACAGTGTAATGCTACCTCAAACACCCACAACCTCACAACTTGGGTATAACAGTCCGATACAGACCGTTACACCATCGCTGCCGCCATCGTCACTGCCGCACCATCACCATCATCAGAAAAGCATGAGCTTGCATGGTAATTGGACCAAACATCTGCAATTTGAATAACTAAAAATTAGTCAACTTTGATTAATTTTTAGCAATATCATAGAATATATGATGTGCATTCCCAATATATTTATTGGTGATGAGTCAGTCCAACAAATATTCTATTACAAATTTCATATTTCTATTTCATACATTTCATCATATGATCTTGATCATTGAATCATCTGAATTGATCATTGATCAATATTTGAAGAATACTTCTCCTTCAGTAAGCAAGTAGATTCTTTGTGTAGCATCCCAATCTCAAATATTTTCTTATTGAGGCATTTTTCTAAATTCTTCAAAATTGAAATACTAATTTTCAAGCAATTTTAATGTAAAAATATTTTATATTAATGTTGTTGATAAATGTTGAAATGAAGAGTGTGCATTAAAAGATCATTCATTTTTAATACATTTCACAGGTTGAAGAAAACTAACTTATTTAATATTCTATAAGAAGGAAAAAGAACACAGAATTATTTCACAAGATTATACAGGACTTCAAATACAGGTTACAATGATGAGCAACTACATATGAGAGCTAATTCAATATATCAGAGCTTGACTTGAGCTGAATCCAATTTAATAACTAATCTAGGTGTCATTTTCGATTCCACATTGAATTTTGTACATCATCTAAGGGAAAATTCACTTCTCAGGTTGAAAAGACCAGAATACGATGTTGGGATGTCTTTATGCCAATCACACGTACCCCCTTAACACCTAGCCAGGAAACTGCTGGTAGGCCATGGCCTGTACATGAACCGACACGCCAAGTACAAACAAACAAACACTGGAAAGTGGTGATTTTTCAATACTTGAATTGTGAATCCTTTATCAAAAAAGTGGATAAATCTTGTTCCTACATGCAGTAAACTAGCGGAACTTGGCAGATGTTTCCCCGTTCTCTTTTTTCCTCTTCTCTCTTTTCCCTCTCTCTCCTTTCTCCATACCATGACACGACGCCCTCCTTGGTCTCGCCCTGTGTCACAAGGCAACACTCAGCAACAATGAAGCCCAAGTGGATTGGGGATTGCATTTAAATGAAGCGCCATCTTGTTCTGTAGCAGCATCTAGTGGAGTTACAACAAAAACAAACAGCTTAAAAACCTTCATCATGAAAAAAACATATAATGTGTTAACTTTCATAGAGATTGGACACATGGTGCTGGATTTCATCGATCTCAAACATACCAACATCCATTTTTATGCACATAGATTACTTCCTTTAATATATGTAATCAAAATACATTTTGTGGGTCCTTGTTATAAAAAAATTGGTTTGTGACAAAATGTCCATCTGCCTGTCCATAGGCAGTACTACAGCCTAAACCATTCAGTTTTTCTCCAGAACTTAAATGACAAATTTGAAACATTTTTAATTGAGGAGGGGGGTGTATTTTACATAAAGTCTAACATTTTAAAAAATGTCTCAAAACTTTTGAATTAATTTTTGTTTTGGTTTTGAGCAGAGTACTCTTTAAAAAATTATTTAGTCTCATTTTCATTAAACTCTCAAAAATTGCAAAGTTCAAAATTTTTCAGTCTTCCTTTAACAACTAATAACTACTTAAATATTTAAAGGAGATTTTTTCCCCCTTATAAATTTTTTTTAAAAGATTGATCTCACAAAGGATCAAGTACAATTTTTCAAAAATATGACTAGTTTTTGCATATTTATGCATGAAATACAGACAATTAAAATAAACAAGATTTTCTTAATTTTTTTTCCCTTCATTTTATTCTCCGAGAAAAGGAGGTTTATAAAAATAACACAGGTCGTATTTTTGGTGAACTCTTTGGATGATCAAAAATTGCAAGTTAAAAATAATGTGAGAAAGCACATGCTGTTTTGCTAA